ACACAGCAGGACCTAGAGGTTGTACTTTTTACCACCAAATCATGTTAACTGTGGGCCCCACACTGCTCCTGGAGACACATGGGTCGGGGCTGGCAGGCATTAAAGGAGGATCTCCCTGTTGTGGTGGGGGGTGCCCAACGGACTGGGGGAACTGCCTGGGGTGGGGATTTCTGCAGCCTCTCTGGGTCTTGACCAGGAGGGTGAGGTGACACTGTCCTGTGCAGCCCAACCCCTGCCCCTCGGCCATCCCAGCACCCAGAGGCCGGTAGGACATTCTCTGCCTCTCCCATGACTGGCTAAAGCCACAGGGAGGAGAGCTGGTGTAGTGGGAAGTCAGTGACTTCCTCTGGCCAGACCAACTCATTTGCATATCCCAGCAGGGTTTGGCAGCAGTAATAACAAACATTTAAACGGCAGGCCCTGGCCAGGTAGCTCAATTGCTTATAGCATCATCCCCACACACCAAGGTTGCAGGTTTGATCCCAGGTCAGGACACATATAAGAATCAACCAATGAATGCATAAATAAGTGAAACAAGTTGATGTTTCTTCTCTCTTTCCCCCTCCCCCTCTCTCTAAAAATCAATCAATAATAAAAAAAAAAAGTAGCAGCTCTGTAAGGGGTTCTTTAATCCTCTCCACAACCCTAGGAAATAGCAGTTATTATTCCCATTCCACATCAGAAGAAACTGAGGCACAGAGGACAACTGCCTTGTCCAAGGTCACGTAGCCAGTGAGTGGTAGAGGTAGGATTCAAACCCAGGCAGTTTGCAGCCAGTTTCACACAAACCTTTGGGGGCTAACAGAACTGCACTCAAATCCCTGCTGTGGGTTAATGCTGTTCCCAGCGCCAAATGAGACAGCAATGGCCAGTGCCCAGCACGGAGCACTCGACACTGAAAAAAAGCTCCCCTGCTTCCTCCCAACCCTAACACTACTCAGCTCCTGGGGTAGGGCCGACCCGGGTGTCTGGACCTGTTCCCTCTCCAGGCTGTGGTCAGGCTCTTGTGGGGTTTGGGGAGAGCAGGTGGATAGGATGGGGAAGGGGCTTTAACTGGCCCATCTAGGCCTTCATAAGACCAGGGGAGTAGGGAGTGAGAAAGGGACGGAGTAGTTTTGGGAATTCTTTGAAGCTATTGGAGATGCTGGTCCAGGCTCTGGCCCGAGGCCCATCTGCCTAGGGCAGAAAGCCTGGGGCCAGAAGCTGGGCAGGCGGAGCATCTCGACAGCAGAGCTGGGGAGGAAGAGGGACTCCACTACAGAACTAGGGCCAGGCCACCTGAGATCCTACCCAGGCAGAGCCATAGGCCAAGGTACCGGAAGAGCCCTCGTACACTCTGCCCCACCCCACCTGGAGTAGGGACTTGCGCCATGCTCTTCAGCACCACACAGTACTGCTTCTCCAACACCTGCGTCCCCGTGCGTGGGGATAGCACCAAAGGCCCTCTGGCCTCCCCAGACAGGCTACAGGAAAGTCAAGGTGGTTACCAAGGCCTAGGCTCTCACTTGCCAATGCACCTTTACATAAGAATCAATAGTTTCCTGTGCTGGACCAGGTCCTAGGCCATTTTTATGCTTTAACTCACTCCCCCTGATGACCCTGAGGTAGGTATTATCTTTGTTTCCACATCAGTAAACTAGATCCCAGAGAGGTTAAGTGAGTTGCCCAAGGTCACACAGTGGTTAAGCAGGATTCAAACCCAGGCAGGGTCCAGAGCCTGTGCTCTCAATTATGGTGCTCTGCTGTCCCTCCAACCTCGGGCTGCTGCAGATCTTCATCCAAGATGGCACACTCCCTGGAGGGCCATGACGAGCGCCTGGTGCCCAGGGCTGGCCCCTGGCCCAGCTACTTGGCAACACCCAGTGGTTTCATTAATGTTTAGGGAATGCTGACATTTTTGAACAACTTCTGAATCTAGGCCCCCACCTCTCCTGCCTGACCTAAACTAGAGCAGCTTAGTCTCAAGTCCTAGAAAGTTAAAACAAAGAAGCTTATAGCTTCCAATTCCTCTCTGACACATGGGTAAATGGAGGCCCAGAGAGTCAGAGTCTTCAACATTACCTGGGCCCTGGACCTTGAGCTTTTGCTTCTGGCTAAATGAGACAGTTAAAACAGGTTTTTGGTGGCCAAACTCTTCTAGTGCAGGGGAGGAAGCATGAGACGGGGCAAAGACTGAAAGTGGGACAGGCTACCGATGCCCCAGGAGGACCTTGCCCGGGAGGAATCCAGGCTCACCTCACCACAGCCTCAAGACCCCAGAGGGGTGCTGCGTCACACATGTTCTAACTTGGCCACAGGGGAGGCGGGAATGCCCACGTGTGCAGGACACGCACAGACCACAGTCACCTGAGGAGCAAACACTTTCTGGCCCCCACTCCAGGCCTGTAGAGCCAGCTTTCTGCAAGAGGGGCCAGCCGATCCTGTTGATAAGGCAACAGGCCAAGTGGGCCTGGGCAGACTGGAGGGTGGTGCTGTCTCAAGGTCATCACTGTCACTCTTTGGCTCTTGCGTAGGCTTGCCGCTTCATCTGCTTTTTCAATAGGATCCAAATATCAATATTTGTATGTGGAATTGTATGTTTTTTAGCATCGATCACCAATAGGAGAAAAACAACTGTTGGGATCATCAAAATGTGCCTAGAAGCTGTATTTTACTCATGTTGTATATTGTGCCAGGCTCTGGTTAGATAAAGCTGATGCACTGGGGCCAAGACAGATCTGGTCCCGTGTCTGGCAGCTTGAGGTCTGGATATGGAGACAAACTCTCACAACACACACAGACACATGCTACTGCCTCCAAGCCACCAACCCGTCAAACAGTCCAATGCAGCTCTCCACTGGGTGTCAGCCCAGGTCACATCAAAAGGGAAGAGAGCTGAGAGCTGCTCCTGTGCCATCCAACCGTGGAGCTTTTCAGGTCAGGGAACAACACGTGGTGGAAGGAGGGACAGAAGGAGGGAGGGAGGGAGGGACAGAGGGAGGGAGTGAGTTAGGGGGCATGGAGATGAGCCAAAGGTGAAGTAGAGGATGAAGAGTGAGCAGTGGGAGGTGACACTTGGAGGTGGTTTAGGGCTACATTACAAAGGGCTTTGCCTGCGGTTTGGTCCAGACTCAACAGGGAGCCACCGCAGGTTAGTGAGAAGGGGAGATCCTACTTCCTGTCTCCTCTGGCCTCTTGATGGTTTTCCCTAGTCACAGTGACTCAAATCTCTGCTCTTTAGCTCACTCCACTGCCTTGCCTGTGGGTCATGTGACAAGGCCTCAGGCTCCTGGGAATCCACTGTGGGAAATGAACTCTTTCAGAGACGAGGAAGACGCACCTGGATGTCCCTGAAGGCCCAACTGCAATCTGCACCTGCCCCTTCACCGGCTACAGAGTTGCTCACTGTCATTGTCTCTGGGAGATGCCACAAGCTTGCCCAAGATCACCTAGTCTTCAGGGCAGTTGGAGCCCCCCCAGCCCACACTGAGGGGGGTTGCCTTGACTCTCTTTGAATTTGCAGGCTGGGCTGCCAGAGATCTGGCAGAAGCCTCTCCAACCCTTTCTCCTGCTGATTACATCCTCTTGGGTCAATCCTAGCAGCAGGTGAGGGGGCCGGGGCTTGGTATTGGAAAGGGGAAAGAAGAATTTGTCACACAGACTCAGGGACCCAAGTCTGCAGCAGGATGGGGATCAGGTGCTTCAGATGTGGGGTCAGAGATGGTCACCTGGGTCTGACTAGGCCCCCCTCCAACCAAGTGCAGCCTGGGCAAACTGAGAACAGCCTGGGGGTCTGATAAACAGTAAAGATCAGGAGAGGAGATTGGGATGAAATGAGAAAATGGACCTTGACTCCAGTGCCCTGTACATCACAGATCCTAGCTAAAGTTCATTGAATGAATAAATGAACAAAGAAACTCCTGGCGGGGCTACCTGCATCTGCCTTCTTCAGCACTGCTGTTTGCCTGCGGAGGGCTCAGAGAGGAGAGACTGGTGGAAACCCCAGCAGCCCAGACTGTGTTTCCTTGGCACCATTCAGCCCCTACTCAGGATCACAGACCCAGGATTCCAGGGCACAACATCCCCAGGCCTCTCATCTTCCCATAAACTGCCTGGGATTCAGGACCTCGCTGTCACTGAGGGCCAGGTTGAAGTACACATCCTGGAAAGTTAGAGTGATAACCTAGAATGGTCCTTTGGTTGTCCAGGACGCACTGACCCAATCTGAGGTGTGGGCCTCAGTGTTTTGGAGGTAAGGAAAAGAAGGGAAAGCCTTGGGTTTGCTGCCCCTTGGAGCACCTGGGGACAGAAAAGTGCCTGACCTGAAATGGCTTCTTCATCCAGACTGCCTCCCCTTCCCAGCAACCAGTGCTTCACTGTGGAAAGGGCCTGCCTCCTCCCTGTCCTGCAGGGAGCACTAAGTGTCCTAGGTGAAGACTCCCACTGTGGCCTGGGTAGGGGGCAGTGGAGTCCCAAAGAAAATAAGGGATTCTCACCATCCTCTCAAACACCCATTCCCTGCCCTCTCACAAAGACACACACCCAAAGCCTCAGCCATCACCCTAGGGCTATACACTGTGGGTCCCCTCACCTGTGGACACCCCCAAGTCTTCTCCCTGGATGGATTTCACTTGAGAACTCAGCCTGGGCTCCCGGGGAGGGGTACATACACTCCAAAGACCAAGGATCCGACCGCTCCGGGCTCGCAGTTTTTTTGTTGTTTTTTTTTCCGGGGGGGGGGCGGGTATTCTACTGTTTTCTCCCCTCTCCGTGGTGCAAGGTGCTCCGCCACCACTCCCGGTTGGGGCCTGAGCCCCGAACCCCAAGGCTAGGGTGTGGGGCGGGGGAAGGGAGGAGGGGGCGGCTCCTCCCAGCGAGACACAAAGAGACGTCCTTCAGCCTTGGATCCATGGCGACGCTGGGGAGGGGGGCAGTGCGCACCCAATACTTCCATCCCCACCTGCAGGTCTAGGGGCCTCGGTGGCCACTCACCTGCTGCTCCTCACCTGGGCCCGGCTTACCTGGGCTGGGGCCGCGGGGACGCCGCGGCAGGGGGCCTGGGCGCCGTCTCGGTTTTCGTCAGCCTGGCCCGAGGGGCTCAGGGCGCCACAACCATGGGCTGGGATGCGAAGGACGCCGCGAGGGACTCAGTCGCCTGGTTTCTGAATCTTTGAGTGTGTGTGTGTGTGTGGGGGGGAGCGATGCCCCGAGGCCTCTTGCTGGTGAGGGATAGCTCTTGCTGTCCTCGGGTCCCTAGATTTGGGGTTTCTGTGTGCCGGAATTGGGGGGGAGGGTCTAGGACTCTGATCTAGGGGCGTTCTGAGCTGGGTCTTCGTGTCTTGAGGTGTGGAGTTGTATTGCCCAGAATCTTGAGAGGGGGTGCCGCAATCCCGGAAGGGAGGGTCACTGTGTTCTAGGTCTTGGGGGTCGCCTGGACTGAAGAGGGGGAGTCTTCTCAATCCCGAGAAAGTCTTCGCCTTTGCCGGCTGGTAAGTCGTTCTGTGTTGGATCTGGAGGCTTCCCCCAACCCCGCTTTCCTGGGGTTGTCTGGGTTCTGGATGTGGTGGGGGGATCCCCACGCTCCCCGGCTGCGGGGGTTTGCTGAGTCCCAGCCACCCGCAAAGGGGCTGGGAGGAAGCCCCTCAACCGCTGGGGGGCTCCGTCGCCGCCGCTACGAGCAACCCGGCCCTGCAGTCCCGGACCCCGGCCTGGCCCGGGCTCTGGATGCGGTTCCGGCTCGCGCTCCGCCTGGTGCTCGGGCCCGGGTCCCGGCGCCCGCCCGGGCTGCGCTCCATCGCGGCATCGCGGCTCCACCCTCCAAACCGCGCGCACCTGCCCGCTCGGCCCGGGGCTCCACCCTCCGGGTTGCGCGCCGCCGCCCGCCCCTTTGTCCGCCCCGCTTGGCGCGCGCCCTTGCGCACGCGCACTAGCCCAGGCGCGCTCTCCCTCCCACCGCGCCGTTCCGCCGCGCGCGCCTCAGAGCGTAGTTTTTCCACCCCTCGGAGAAGGAGCGGTAGCGAAGCCCCAGCCCCGCTTTCCGGCCTTGCTGGGTCCTAGCGCTGTCGTCTTCCTGTCTCGCTTTCCCCCCCACTCCCAGTCTTTCTAGGTCAGAGCCCACGAGGGTGCGAGAACGAGGTTAGAGGGGACCCAGGGGAGTCTGAGAGGGTCACCTGGTCCTCCCTCCTGTCCCCTGCGGCCTCAGACTGCTCCAGACTGTCCCAGTCTATTCTTGTGGGGTGGAGCCTGTGTCTGTTTCAAGGAGGGAAACATTCAAGCTCTGCAATAGGATACGCATTCATTTACCCATCGGTCAGTCATCCATTCATCCATACATTCATCCATTCATCCCATTTTGAGCAAGACCCCAGAGAATGAACAGCCTACGCAGAGAAGAGGCCATATAATGGGGTCTTGGGGGTCATGGCCAGCCCAAGTTGTGCTCTTGACTCCGGTTATGAATGGCAGTGACTAGTCGTGGAATGCACAGTGCTCACCAGATAAAAAGGAGGAAAGGGGATTCCGGGCGGAGGGAGCAGCATGTACAAAGACACCACTCGGGAGTGAGGAGCATTGTGGGTTTGGTAACTGAAGATTGGTGGCTTGGAAGGAAGTCGGGTGGATCAGGATGGGGGTGAGACAGGACAGCTCGTCCCCTCAGGCCCTGTTCTGTCTCTTTCTAAGCCTCATCCGTGCAGCCCTGGCCACACTGTCTTCCTAAAAAGAAAGTCCCTAACACACCCTGTACCTCCCCTATTTCTTCCAACGATTTGTTCAGACTCTCCCCCACCCCCACCTGCACCCCAGAGTACTCTCCCCAACTGCAGTGACTGTTTCTAGTAGGTTTAGAGCCAGGGGTTGCACACTCAAGTACCTATAGTCCGTGTACATTACTGACTGTGGCCAGGTGTGAGGTGATGGGGAGGTGGAGACAAAGCAAACTGGGGCATCGTGGGCCCTTTGTGGACATACAATTTTTCAGCAGAAGCAGGAATCCACATTTCTAACAAAACATCCTGTACCCTTAAATGATGGGAAAAATTCCCCAAATTTAGAGATACTGAATGGGCCAAATGAAAGATTCTTCGGGACTAAATCTGGCCCATGGGCCATCGGTATGAAACCTCTGCTGGTGAGAACATTGCCTTAGTCCCTAACTCGTCTCCTTCCTGGCTCTACCTAGGCTTCTTTTCTTTCCCTCGAATCCAACTCCCATGTGCCCATCAACTCTGTAAAATACAACGTGGCTTGGGTTGCTCCTCTAGGTAAAATTGCCAATTATTCTGAGTTACCTCTGGGGTAAAAATTTAACCTCCTTATCCTGGTGCTCAAACCCCTTGGCCTTTGGGGTTCCTTATTGAGGTCGCCTCTTCTCCATTCAGCCTTGGCCTCAGCCAGTGTTCCTAGGACATCTGCTTTCTCTCACCTCTGGGCCTTATTTCCTTTGCTTCCTGTCTAGAACATCTTTCCCCTCTTCTTTGTTCCTCAAACAAGCTATCCTCCAAGACACCTCCTCTACATCTCCCTTTTCTCTCTCACTACTCCGTATCCCACCAACGTTCCCAAGTTTCAAATTTCCCCCTGACTTTGTTCTAATCCTCTTCAGACAAGGCCCTGTTGCCCCAAACAAACTAACGGAGCAGTATGAGCTATCGAGCCAGCAATAGAGGGAGGCTAGAGAGAGAGGGAAGAGAGAAGAGAATTTTTTTGTGCGTCTAACAACTGAATCCCAGAATATTAGAATTGAGAGAGCAATTTCCTCTTTTTACAGGAGGAAACTGAAGCCCAGGGAGGGGTAGAGGTAGAATTGGGCCTCGAAATGCTCCCAGCCGTGGTTCAAGGCCACCTTCTGTAGACATCTTCCCAGATTCCTCAACAGGGGATTTGATTACCACCAATGTGATTAGTAAAGGTTTGCCAAAATGCATGTGGTAATCAAGTCCACCCTGAGCTCTGCAGAGTGGGAAGTCCTGGTACCCAAAGGGGACACACTCTTACCAGGTACACAGAAGAGTCCCATTGAAATTTAAGCTAGGGCTGCTGCCAAGACGCTTTGGACTCCGTGTGTTCTGGGACGAGCAGGCAAGCAAAGTAGCTCAGAGTCATTGTTCTGGCCACAGTAACTGGCCATCATTTGCTAGAAGTTACTAGATCCTCAGTAACTAACCATAAGTTACTAAAGTTACTACAAATACCTTGATTAGTTACTAGAAGAAGGCATGGATGCTTTTACAAAGTGGGAGCAGGGAGAAATACTGGAATGTGGAGCCCAGTGGACCACTGGTTATGATAACCAAGGGTTGACACCCCTCAGGACAGAAGGGTTGGGCCACACCACCAGGTGACCCATCAAGACCTGTCTAGGTGACAGTCAAGAAGAATGGGTAGTGGAAAGGGGAAAGGATGGTTGCCAGTTATGGCACCAAGGTCAAGTGCAGCAAGGGGAGGGAGCTGTAGTTTGTACCATGAACCACCCTCTTGAAAGTTTCCCTTAGAAAGAGAGGCTGCTCACAGCATCCACAAAGAATCTATGTGGCGCAAGGAGTGGGGGACATAGAGGCCGTGAAAATGTGGCTCCCTGATCACTGACTGCAGAGGTGGTGATTCCGAGGGCGCAGCTGTGGGGTCTCTAGGGTCCACGGAGGAGGCTCTGCTTTGCTTCCTTCTAGCCAATGCCAGCAACTGACAGCACAGCAGTCTCCCTGGTGATATAGGGCCTTCTCTGATGGGCAACTTGGGATCAAGAACTCCCATTGGCTTCATCAAATCTTCCTTAACATTGCACTGCAGTCTAAGACACCTCCTGCGCCACCTGTCCCAAACATTGGAATTCTTGAAGTCTGTTCATTCTCCCAGCCTCCTCTGGGTCCTTCCCTATTCCTGCCCGACTCCCCACCTCTGCCCAGCCCAGCCCAGCATTTTCCCTAATAAATTGCTGGTCCGTTTCTCATCACATCTTGACCTGCTTCTCAGAGGACTGAACCAACACAACATACCTGAAGAGAGGAACTAAAGCAGCCGTCTGTAATGCTACGGTCTTTCCCCGTAACACCCAGGGATAGTCCACTCTTGCAGCTCAAAGTTTTGTATTCGCAGCAGTGCTGCCTTTCCAGAGAGGGTCCTGACGATTGTAACTTAGATAGCAGAACACAAAGATAAAGCTTGGCTGCAACTTCCACAGCGACACAGAAGGAAAATCAGAAAGCAGCGGTCTCCCTTCGATCCCCCCTGTCCTGAGCCCACACCCCCTTCGGTGCTGGCATGTTCTCATGCTCCTAGCAGTCAGTGGCAGCTCCCTGCACAAGGAAGCACGTGAGACCAGAAACCCAGGACTTCGGATCATCAAGCACTTTCCCTTTGGCTGCATTTTATATGTACTGATGTGTCAGAGTTTCTGCTACTTTTGGGAGGGGGTGCAATAGAATCCCTGTCCTCCAGAGTCTGCGCGCTGTAACCTTTCACGCTGTGTGGGTCCGGGTGCCTCCGTAGCAGTGCTGAAAGCACTCTTTAAGACATCATTCTGGCCTTATTGGTAGTTTCCATGCCAGGGAAGATAATGCTATCTGGGGATTTCTCCATTGTGTTCTATGTCCTCTGATGCCCCTTATTGCTCCTGTTCCGGTCATGATGGAGAGAAGGTGCTCCTCACTTGTGTAGGAAGTACGCCTTCCCCTGATGGCCACTGTCATGCCTGGGACATTGCTGCCAGTGACTGGCACATGTGCCATAATCAGGGACCCTGGTGACATTGGTGACTGAGTAGCTCAGAGAACTGATCAGGTTTAGGAAGCTGAAGATGATAACATTTTGGGCACAGGTTATCAAAGAAGCTGCTAACAGCCAGGAGCAGGAAGTCCTGAGGCCACTGGGAGACACAGGTCAAGTTACTGCTGAGAAGGAAAACCAAGAGTCCCATCAGAACCCGGGAAGGACCACAGAGAAGACGGCGGGCAGCCCAGGATGCACAGCAGCGGGAGGGGACGGGGCTTTGAACCTCTCAGTACCTTTCTGGAGAATTTATTCTGAAGTGAGAAACACAGTGCTCCAGCAAGAGCTCAGATGAACTCCCCTCCTCTCATGTCACAGCACAAGTGTGGCCACGGCCAGCGGGACGCCACTGATGATGGCAAGTGCAGTGTGGCGCCAGCGCACAGAGGGAAGAACGTCCTTTGTGATCCCACAGGGCTGCTGGGTTTACTTGGAGCCGCTTTGAAGGGAATTCTGTCCCTGGGGGCTGGACGCCTGCCAACTGCTATGAGAAGAATATCGCCTCCGGAATGGGAGTCGTGGCCCCTGGGAACGAGATCCAGGAACCGGGCCTCCAGTGGGGCGAAGGATGGGGAGTCCTCCTATCTGTCATTGCATTTATTAAAAATATCTGACACAAGTGTGATCAATGTTAACATTGATTCTAGCTGCGGATCTGAGTAGGTTTTCATTTTTCTGTATTTTCTTTCACTTTTCTAAAACAGATTTTTAAAAATTTATTGATTTGAGAGAGACAGAGAGGTACAGAGGAAGAGGGAAGAGAGAGAGAAAGAGGGAAGCAATGATTTGTTGTTTCACTGATTTATGCATTCATTGGTTGATACTTGCATGTGCCCTGGCTGGGGATTGAACCCGCAACTTTGGCGTATTGGGGACAATGCTCTAACACCCTGAGCTACCTGACCAGGGCCTCTTTCACTTTTTTTTTCAAAATAAAGCCTGTTCAGTGGAAGTGTTTTTACGTGGGATCTTGAAAAAAATAAAAAGAGGAAAAAACAAATTCCAAGTAACTTTTTCACTATGTGATTTTGTTTTCTAAAGCCAAGTCTAAGAACCATCTAAAATGACCTCAGGCTCACTCTGAGAAGCGTGGGAGCGGAAACTCCCTTGGGCTGCCTCCTCCTTACCACC